GACAGAACACAAAAGCCTATTTTTCTCCTAAGAACAGCATCATCCTTCGCCAAGGCACAGACGATATCTCACTAACAACATCACTCCTGTCTCTTCCAATAAATACAACCATTATGCCAACCGCTTCCACCTGGACAAGTACTTTTGTGCTCTGAAATCTGCCAGCTGGGGACGGTGCGAACGCGAAGCACGACCCCCGTGTCCCCCCCAGGAGCAGAGAACACGGGAAGGACCCACAGACCCCCCTCCGGCGTGTGCTCTCGGCAGCACGAGGGGCACAAACCTTTCAGTGTGAATTCTGCAGGTTTGGATGAAACCCAGACTTCTCCTGCCGTGGGGACACCCATTTCCCCCGGGCTGTGGAGCTCCTGCATCTCCAGGAGAAGGTGCCAGGCCGTGATGGGGGGGTCTCGGGGTGCCCCCCTCCAGGGCAGAGCCTGCTCAGAGCTCCACAGGGAGCTGCTTCAGGAGCCAAGCCAAAGTGATTCTCTGCTGGGACCCTGCCCCTCACCCAGGCATGGAGGGACCACCCAGCCCAGGACCCCCCAGCACCCTCACCCTCCCCGGTTAAAAAACAGGAGGTTCACAAAAACCACAAAAATCCAAGTCATTTTCAAGCTCCGTCAGGATCAATGCCTGTCTCTCGGAGATGCTTTAACCCCTAACACATAGGACATACTGTTTGCATCAAACAGACAGCCTGCCTTTCTTTAATTTTGTTTAGTTTTAAGATTAAAGAAGTCCAAATCACATGCTGTCACTTCCCTCCGCTGTCCCCTGCCATTCCTCACGGTGTGAGGGAGAGTTAATTGATATGAAAATAACTCTGGGGGCTGTATGGCTTTGAAAAACATATAGCATTACGTTCAATACCGGCAATTACAGCTCGGGGGATTCAATCACTCAAAATCTCTATTTGTCTTTTCGCAAGTTCAGGCCGTGGGACTGATGTGACACCCGGCGTGGACAGCTGCTGGAGCGGTCACTGCAGGCACAAAACCAGTAGAAGCTGGTGGAGAGCATCTAAAGATGTCACCAAGAGCACCCCATCACGATAACTAACCAATACACCACCTTCTCTGGGCTCATCTCTACCCCTGTGCTTAACAACTGAGAAAGAAAGGGGATTTTCCAAACAGATTTATCAGGAACTGCTCTTTCTACAGAAGACCCACAGTTTGGGAAGGGCCGAGCCACTCCTGCACCCCTCGGTTCAGCCACCTTCCATCTCACCCTCACTCCTCCCCAGCACCCTGCAGGACCCCGTGGGTTTTTTACTCAGTTTTGCCGGATTGAACAAATAAAACCCCTGCTGCTGGGGCCTGGGGATCGCCCGGGCAAAGCCCAAGGGCACGGCAGCCGCCCCGTCCGGCTCCCGCAAATCGTTATGCTTTCTGGAGCTCCCGTCCATAATGAAGTTAGAAGGACATCATCATCTCACCAGGCTCCCTCCAACCCCAGAGATCAATAACTAATGCTGAACTCCAGATTTTATCTGCACTTTGCAAGGGTAACAAAATAACACCACCCTCTTTTTTTTTTTTTTTTTTCTCCTTTCCAATTACTAAATCCTTTCAAGATTGACCCAGTAATTTTCAGCTTTATGAGATTTCAGACAGCGATGAAAGTGATCTTCCAGAGTGCTTGGAGAACTTACGTGTGTGGTTTTGCTCTCTGGATAGAAGTGCAAAAGTACAGTACAGGGTATGGAAATAGAGGATTACCCAAAAAATGGCATCTTAACTAAGTGGACCCGGAGATATTTGCCTTCCAAGTGCCAGTTTGTTGCCCGCTATCACAACTAAGTGGCCAAGACACAAGGAGAACCCTTGCAAGAAGACACAGCATCCCAGTGATAAAAATTAACCATTCCTTCAATTCAATACTCCCAGATTTTGTAGCCTGCCATTAATATGGCCAGACAGATAAGCCTGAAACGCAATAGCCCCAAGTCTTATTTTCCTGAGAGAACACCCAGGAATAGTTGGGCATTAAAAGAGAAAAGAGACCCCAGCAGAGGCACCAAAGCGCTCAGCTCGATGGCATTTTCAGTGTTGTGAAAGTTATGTGCTCTATTGGCAAGGCATTAAGTTTCACGTCGGGTGGGGCTCTCGAGCCTTCCCAAGGTATTAATAAAGCTGTTGGATGATGAGCAGCTTTGAAAATCCCTCGTTATGTCCGGTTAAATCCCTGCCCTCCCAGTAACTCCCGGGGCCGGTGGAGTTGCCGCTCGTGCAGGCGAGTTACACGCTACCGGGGAACGCACACACGAGTAACACACACACGAGTAACACACACGTGCCAGAGTTATGTCAACAAACACTCTCAATCTGCTTGCACGGAAATTTATCTCGCCTCGGAGCAGTCGGGAGCAGATTTTAATCCGTTTCCTTTCCCTTGCCCCCGTTGATTATTCCGGGCACAGACCAACTCCAGCAAACCACAGCGGATATTTTTTCTGCCATTTCTCTTTCCCTTGGCTAATTCGAAGATACAGATTGCAGCCCGCAAGTGGGTTTGAGAATTGCCATTAACATCAGGGCCGCACGCTACTGCATTTTAAACGTGTTTCCAACACAATCAGAATGTCACAATTTGTAAAATCTGAGGTGATTTTATAAACGATCGATGCGGCAGAACTCGCTTCATCCCCACAGCCCGCTGCCCGCTTTATTAGCCTGATTAGTGGGAGCTACCTGTACAGAGCAGGAAAAAATGTCCAGAAATACTGGATAAATTCAAGCTTGAAGATGAAGATGAGTCTCTACCCTGGCTGTTACGCTTGTTTTTCCCTGCCACATGTACTTGGCAGAGTAAAGACCCAGAGCTCAGACTTCCATGCCCCTCTGGCAGCCCCTTGGCACCGGCCGGGCTTCACCCAAGGAATTTTGGCTTATGCCAGCAAATAATCAGCGTTGTCCTTCACCCAGCAAAAGGGTAAAGCCTGTTCCCCAGGAAACAGCCGCACAAACAAGAGCTGACCCTCCTGGGAGCCAGAGAGCTCCCGTGTTTGCCAGGAGCAGGGAGGGGGGCTCCAGCCCCCGGATGGTACAAGCCACCGGGACAGACACGGGTCAGGAGCCTGAGGCTGATGGAGCACACGGAAGATTCTGGTAACATCACCTCCAACAGCACCTACAGTCTGCTTTTGGTCCTTTTGGACCGATAATTCCTCCCTTCTTGGATGGAATCTAGGGGCTTCCACAAGGATGCTAATGCAAAGAGAAATGTTATGGCTGGCACGTAGGAAAAACAGGCTATAAAAGAAAATCAACCACGGAAATAAATTTACAGAATTCCTGGGGGGGAAAAAAAAAAAAAAAAAGACCTGTTGCCTCTTGTCTTCAACACACACTGTGGGGGGAAAAGCCCTTTATGGAAAAAATGAAAAGTTTGATGGCAGCTAAAGGTGCCCCCACACCTGGAGCCCTCAACTTCAGCAGTTACAGACCTTTTCTCCAGGAAGGAGAAGGGAAAGATGCTTTTGAGAGAGGAACACCCCTGGAGCCCAGCAAACCATGTCAGAGCAGGGATGCGGGGCCCTTGTGCCCAGCACAAAAACACCACATCACGCAATTTCTTCAAATGCAAGAAACAACATGCCTGAATGGAGAAGGGTATTTTTGGCCCATTTAAGGATGGGTTGCAAAGAGAAGGGTGGAAAATTCCCTGGATATAAAAAGAAGTTGTCAGGGGCTGAACTTTCCAAACTATATAAGAGTTTTGAACACTTGGTTCCTGTCACAAAACTGATGGGCACTGGCTGTTCACATGCCTTCCCTGGCTCTGAAGAGCTTATCTTTCCAGGCAAGTCTTTTGCTCAACTGCTGCTGAATTTTCCAGGCTGCTCTGATCCCCGACTTCAGAGAGGGATGGGTGCCTGGGAGGGAACTGCTGGAGGGAGGGAATGTTATCCGGGAGATCTGCCTGCCTCACCCAGCCATCCGCATGCACTAAGCTGCTTCTTAAGGCAAATATCAGAGCAGTGAATAATTCTGACAGCGCTAGAAGATCAGGTCCTCTGACCCTGCCATGGTGATGAAGAGGAGGGAAGGCAGATGCTCCCCACTCCCTGCTCCCCTCTCCCCTTCCCGGGGCTCCCATCACTCCCAAGCCATGAGCTGCCTCCAAACACATGCAGCGTTAAAGCAGGGAGACTGGTGGCATAAAATCAGTCTCGTTTAGAAAGAAGGGAAGAGGAACCTGTCTCCAGAGCAGTGTCTGGTGCCACTGTGATACCCAGGTACACTGATAACATGAACCACTCGCCCAGAGACAGAGGAGCATCATTTATCTCCACCAAAAGGAATGGCCACAACACTAACAATAACCCCCAGCTCATTTCCACAGAACTGTACGAGCAGTGATGAAACCCCTGTCTCTCTCTTGTGAAATACATGAAGGGAAATTCCTCTTCTGGAGATGCTGCTTATTCTGAGCTACCACCAGCAAGCAGTCCCCAGCTCCAGAACCCCAGCAGGCTTGAAACCTCAGCGGAGGGGTTTGGCACCTTCATTTCCTCATGTCTCAGCTTAACTGGGCTTATGCCCAGTTTACTCTGATGCGAGCCACCTTGGCACAAACCCTCTGCTTCCCTGCAGCCTCATCACACCCAGCCCTGGGGCTTTACTGTCCCCAGGGACACCACAGAGCCTGACAATGGTCCTCCCAAAGAGAAGTCATTAGACTGACCAGCGCAGCCATCCCTAGTAAAAAAAATCCCAGTGACACGTGGCATTTCGTGCCCAACAGCCTTTCCTCTGCAGAGTCATCCCTAGTAAAAAAAAAATCCCAGTGACACGTGGCATTTCGTGCCCAACAGCCTTTCCTCTGCAGCCCCTGCAGGACCCAGGGAGCTGCCTCAAACACAAAGGTCCTGCTGATTCAGCGCCGTTGGGTTCAGCCACCGGCTCCTCACACTGACACTGATTTTTGGGGCTGTGCTCACCGTGCAGAAGCCGCCACAAAATGTGATGTCTGAGCTCTTGGCTCTCTCTTACCTCTATGCCTGTTGGTCGTCTTGTCAAACATAAGCATGGCGTCCTCCACCTGCAAGAGAGAAGAGGGGAGACGCACGCGTTAACACACACGGATCCCAACACATCTGCTGCTTTCAAGCCACGTCCCAGCTGAAGTTCAATCCTAAAGTGGAAAAGCGGGCATTAAAATTTGTGTTGCCCCAAAAAGCCAGATATCTAAGGAGCTCTTCCTTCTTGTTGGTCCCCAGCTGTGCCTCATCTCAGCCTCTTTCCCTTTCGTAGGGAGATAGGGAAGGGCCAGGACAGGAATCATGGATGCAAATCAAGCCCATGACTTCTCCAAATCAGAGTTACTGTCTTGGCTGAGAATTAGGAGGTCTCAAGAAGTATGGGCAGGGTAAAATCTGGTCAGCCAAGAAAGGAATTCAGAGGTTTTCAGAAGGCCTTTTGAAAAGCTAGAGGAAAGAGGGGAATGGGAGGAGGGAGAAAGTTTAATTCGCATCAGGCTTGGCATTTCCACTTCAGAAGAGAGATGACTGATGAAACGTATTGAAGTGCAACCAAATTGCTTTCAACTTTCATTACCATTTGCATGATTTATTCCACCTCCATTTAATCTGTGCAGCCACACCTAAAATTTTACACTTATTTCAGAAGGATGTTGTGCTGGGGTTTATTTTCCAGCATTATCACGTTTTAAACGGTTTCTGCGAGGCTGCAGGAGCTGGGGCAGTGGGGACTGCAGGAGACGTCCTGGGCAATCTTTCTGAAAAGAAATCACAGACTCACTATTCCCTGCTGGAAACGAGGGGCTGATGGAAACCTGTGTCACCGCTAAATTGCAGGAGACGCTGCAGGAAGGGAGAAGATCTTGAAGAAAAGGGTCCGTTCTTTAAAGGACTCCACTGCGGGGGTGGGTTTGGGGTTTTTTGTTTGTGGGGCTTTTAAGGTGTTTTTTTTTCCCCAGTAATTTTTACGACATTTCCACATTCTTACATTCTGGCTTTCTGTAAATCATTTGTTTTAGGTAAGTGACTTACAATGCAGGTACATGCTCTCTTCACCTCACATGATGCCACCAAAAGGTCTCCCTTTCACCCCAACTGCCCCTGATGGCTTTGTGCTGACCTCCCTCCTTTCTGCCACCGCGTTCACGCCACAGATCAAGCCAGGGAACTGCTGCGGGTTCAAATGACCCACACTTTCCCTTTCAGATTAGTTTTCAGCCAGCCCAGTTTCCCAGCAGGGCCACACCAGCGCCTGTGCTGCCCCAGGGGCAGAGCAGCAGCACCCTTTGGGAAGGTGGGACCACTCCGGGTGGCCGTGGCAGCTTCTGCTGCCTTAATGTGATGCCAGAATTACAGCAAAAGAAAATTATAGAAAGTTCCTGCCTGGATAAAATTCCCAGTTCAGGGAGTACAGTTTGACTCTCATGCAGGGGACACACATCCACCACCCTTCTGTGCAGAACCACAATCTCAGTCTTGGCTGGGCAGAGATGTATTTTGAGAAGGTGGTAAAAACACAGCTTGAACCTCAACTATGGGATAGAAACAGGTTCCAGGAGAAAATAAATAAACACAGTACAGCAAAACCTTACACACCATCTAAATGCATCTGAAAACCTGCCTCTGGTTAACTTGCTCTTGACTTTTTCAATCAAAGTGGTCTGCGAAATGTGTTAGCAACGGCCTGAGATGGTGGAGAACAGCACGTCTCCTTGATACCCATCTTGAATGAGACCTAAAGATGCTGATGCACCAAAAAATCCAAACCACATTAAGCACAGAGCCATTTGTCCTGCTGTCTTTCCTCACTCCGAAGAAGAAAACTCACAAGAAGTATGAGCAATGCCAGGAGGCAGATAAGGACAGAGCTGCCCTTCACCCTACCACCGCCGCTTATCTCTGCTCCGGGGTTACGTTTGCACAGCAATCTTTATTTTTCATTCTCACAGGTCTTGGCCTCACTGGAACCAAAAATTACATGTCGCACCTAATGCTGTTTGCTCGAGCATCGTGGCTTCCTCCACCTCACTCCCCCCAGCCTGCTGGCCACCCTTTTGGCCCCACACCAACTGCTGCTGCAGAAGTTTTAACAGACAACTCTTCCAGTGTCATCTTTTTGCCTCAAATCCCCCACCGGAACCCAGAGGGGTCTCGGGCACCCTGAAGGACACATCCCACCACCCATGGGAGCTCCTCTGTCCCCCCTCCCAAGGGCTGCCCCTGGGCCCAGGCTCTCCTGGCTGGAGCCACACGTTTCAAATTAACACCTCCTCCTGCAAGGACATGGATGACCAGGGACTTTCAAAAGGCTGTTTGATTGGAGGGGGAGAAGAGATGCAAGATGAGGGCACAACACGACCTGAACCTCCCTTTAGCATGGCCGAGTATCAGCCCGAAGGCTCCCAACAAGCTGGGAGGGTGTAAAACCCTCTCTTGGGCTCAGCTGGAGCAGGACCACCATGGGTCAGAACCTCTTGAGCAGCCTCACCCAGCTCCTCCAAGTGCTGCCGTGACAGAGAAGGGACAGGTCCTGGCACTGGGGGGGATGAGGGGGCTCTGGATCCAGTTCCTGATCATATTTGGGATCTGCAGTTCTGGTCACCTCTCCCACCACTACAAAGTGACATGTCTTCTCACCCACCACTGGGCAAACAACGCTTTGTGCCATGTGTACTAAGGCCCCGCTTCGCTGGAATGATGATCTTGGCTGAGATCTTTTTAATGCAAATAAATCCTTATTAGCAGTAAGGAAGGCAGCCCGCGTGTGCTAATCCGGGCGGTTTCCAACCTGCTGGCTGGGACCCCGGGGAGCGCGGACGCCCCGGAGGATGCCCCGGAGGTGGGAGCTGCATCCCTGTGAGATCAGCGGTACCCACTGCCGGGATGAGGAGGGGGCACAGCCCCCCAGGGCAGGGTCAGCCCCACCACTTCAGATCTGGAAACCCGCACGGGGGGAAGCGGCTCTTGCAGCCCGGCTTCAGATGCGGAGCGAGCACGCCTTTAAGAAAAAATAATCAGTGGGGTGTTCTTTAAAGCCAGCTGGTGCCCTTTCAACAATGTCTAATTGGTTATCTTTTCTGTTTCCTAAGGTCAGAGCATTTTATCTCCGTCTCTGCCCTTTCTGAGTTTACCCCACCCTGTGTTATTTTTTAGGGCAGCCATTGTGCCAGAAGAATAGCCTCTTTCCTCCATAGTCCGGTGACACAATGAGACTTCTTGAAACCTCCTGAATAGATAAAGTGCAACGGCGAAAGGAAAATTCTATTAACGCTTTGCAAAATAAAACATCTAAGAGCTGGTTAGACAAGCAAGAGAAGAAAATCAATATGGAGAGGGCAGCGCGCTTAGAAAAACTTTTCACCAGTTGCAAAAAGGTGGCGAGGGTATGGGAGGGAGGGGGAGAAAGAAACTTATTAATTCAGAAAACCCATCAATGGTATGGAAATCTGGCAGAACAGCAAGAACTGAAACTAGAAGAATTTGAATATACAAAGGGCTGAATAGAATGAGAAAACCACACTGCCTCACACACACAGCCCGTTTCTCACGGTTCTCTGTGAATCAAACACAAGCGGCTTGTTCAAGTTTTCATCAAGGAGAAATAAGGGACACAGTCAAGGTAACCGGCAGTAAACCCTGTAGTAAGCAAATTGATCCCTATTTCAGGGAAGGGAAAAAAAAAAACACCAACCCAGAGATGAAACTCAAGCACATTCAGGAGCTGTGACTGTCCAAAAGTTAACCCCCTCCTCCAGCCCGAGGCCCCCTTGCTGGCCCAACTTTTTAAAAATGCTTGACCAGCAAGTTTTCCAGGTCTCAACTCAAATCAGGCAACTGGAACCTTGCTTACAGGAGAGAAGGAAGTTTTCTCCAGGGGCAGAAATGGGACTGGAAGGTCCATCCCCACCTGCCAGCCTCGGCCAGGGGGCACCTAGCGCTGGTCCCCCACCACCCAAGGAGCCCCATCACCAGCAGTGTCCTGCCATACCCGTGTTCTCTGGGCACAGCACAGAGCTACACACCAGTAAAGAGCTGAATTTCCCCAGTACAAGCATGAGACAGTGCTGTAGAACCCAGCAGAGCACCATCTCCCACCCAGCACGCTCAGAAAGCTCCCAGCCAAGCCAAAAACTTCCCTCTCTTCTCAGACGTGGTATGGCTCAATGAGGAGGCTTGAAGGAGCTGATTAATTTGAACTAATTATCGGCAGCAAATGAGAGCGCATTACAAAATGAACACAGTCTTAGCACTTAAGGTAAATAAAAAAATAAAAAGAGACTTGCCAGATAACACCAGTTACAAATGGGCACTTAAGCCCAACAGACTTCTCCTCCGTCCCAGCATACCCCATACGTTCATCCAATTTAGACCCAGTTTCTTACATAAAGCCTAACTAATGGGCTTTAGTTTATTTAATATTTTTTTTCAACCCACTCGGGGCTCTGAGAAAAGGAAGGGCTACACCACTACTTTAATCACTGCCTGGAAGGAGGAATAGGGGAGAATAGAAGGAAAGAAAAAAACCTGGAGGAGCCAAAGACTTTAATAATCCTAACAGTTCCCAGGGTTATTTAAAATATGCCCAACCAGTTCACAAAAGGCTCCACAGAGATAAATGTATTTGATTTTCTTCCACTTTAATGGAGGCACACATTTAAAGCAACAAAACCAGGGTGACCTAAATAAAATGACTATTAATTGTACTCAGAAAGGCTCTGAATTTAATGCAACTGATCCAGCCCAGCAGAAGAACACACCATATTCTCCATTCTTTCCTCCCACCTTCCTCTTCAGGGTTTTCAACTCCTCTCTATTCCGCAGGGCAGAACCGAGCGCTCGGCGATGATCAAACCCATCCACCTCAGGAACCAGCCAGGGGGACCAGCAGCAGCTCAGCCAGCTCTGGGAGGGGGACAGGGCTCCAGAAACAGGGGCACGGTGCCACCACCCCAAGCGGAGATGACCAAACCGAGATATTTTCTGGAAAAATCTCACATCTGGTCTTGTGTTTCTACAGTCGATGATGGCTGCACAGACCGGGCAGCACAAGAGGTGGCCCATG